GAACCTCTCTAGGTCATGCATACTTCATAGCAAAAACACATACGTACAGAAAAAGGTATAATAGGGGTGCCTGGGTGGTTCAGTTGGTTAAGCATCCGATCCTTGATTTCAGCTCAGGCCATGATCTCATGGTTTGTGAGATCAAACCCTGCATGAGGCTTTGTGCTGACAGTGTGGAGCCTGCTTGGGATTCTCCTTCTCGCCTCTCCCTCTGCCCCACCTCTGCATGTTCTCTCTCTCTCTCTCTCTCTCTCTCTCAAAATAAATAAATAAACATTAAAAAAAGAAAACGGTTTTCATGGTTTGGGAAGGTCTATAATGATGTGTCTAAAGCTTCTGTCATGCTACAGGTGCTCAAATAATTATTATCAAAATGTTTATTGTTACTGGGTTTTTCTCTATTCAGAAAGTTCTACTACCTGACCTCCCACAGAGTACATTTATTCCACACTTGAAGATTCATCCATTCGTTTCTGTGTAACTGGAATGCTTTCCTTCTTCACCTGTGTTTAAGTCAACCCTATTCATGTGTTAGGACTCAAATTATGTCTTACTTCCTCCATGAGGCATTCTCTAGCCGCTCCATCACTCAGTGATGGAGCTGTATACTTTGTGTTTCTTCTCTGTACTTGTGTTACAGTTACTTTCTCTGCATCTCTAGCTGAGTCATGTTTTCTTTCCCGCTTGATAGCAATGACTTGTACTTTTTTCATATCTCATCTTCCTCACAACCCCCTAAAATGTCTAGCATGTTACCATGCTCTATACTATCCTATTTAATTAAGAGATAAGCCTTATTAAAACATGGTTAGCATGAATTAGCTTAAGACGTTATCCAATGGTCATGTCATTCTGAATACTATTTGGATTAAACCATCAACAAATATAAACTTTTATGATATGATAAGATGTTTCTAGAATGGATAAAGAAGCACCTTAGACATCATAGATTAGTAGGTAAACAACAACAGCAACATACAATTGAATGAGGTTTATTTTTCATATTTTTAAGACTTTTCAAACACTCTGGCCTTGAGAACACACACACACACACACACACACACACACACACACACACACACAGATGCCCTAATTCAATTCTCCATTTGACATTATAGATCCGTATTTTGATCTCTTCTTGCAGAGGCTATATGTTTTCAAATGCAATGAAGTTCAAAGAATCTGATTCATGATGCCTGAATCTCTCCTTCTGTTTTGTTTTGTTTTGTTTTGTTTTGTTTTTAAGTAATATTTGGTAGTGGAAGGCACTGGGAGCTGTATTAGTGTTCTTCAGAGAAACAGCACTAATAAAAAAGAGATAATAGGTAGACAGATAGATAGGTATAAGAGGAGATTTATTATAGGAATTGGCTCACGTGATCATGGATGACAAGATGTTCCAGGATCTTCTGTCTGCAAGCTGAAGACCCAGGAAAGTTGGTAGTATAATCCACCTTGAGTCTGAAGGCCTGAAAACCAGGGAAATTGACACCTAAGGGTGAGAAGTTGGATATCTCAACTCAAGCAGAAAGAGAAAATTCACCCTTCTCTACCTTTTTGTTCTAATTGAATGATGCCTACCCACATTGGTGAAACCATCTGCTTTTTTTCAGTCTTCACTACCCAATATAAATGTTAAGCTCTTCCAGAGACATCCTCACAAACACATCCCAAAATATTTCTTTTTTACCAGCTGAGTATTCTGTAGCCCAGTTAAGTTGAAACATAAAATGAAACATCACAGGAGCCATTACTTAACAACACCTCTAAGGAAGAGATTTTACAAACTATGACACCAGTGAAGTCAGATGTTTGTAGAATGAAGCTTGCCTATCTATCTATCGATCGATCGATCTATTTATATTTGAAGCATATTTAGCATTTGATTGTGTATTGTTTATATTGATCTCTCACGTTTACATGTCTGATCTTCCCAGCCATCTCAAGAGAAAAGTTTATTTCTTTCACTGTTTTTAACTCAGTGTTTGATGTTACTATTAGTGTCTAGTGGAAAATATTGGCTTAGGAATGTGGAGACCTGATTCCTAGTCCAGCTTTGTCACTTACTAAACCTAGTGTAATTGGACAAATTGCATAATAACATGGAACTTGCCTTTCCTTTTCTTTTAAGTGACAATAATTCTATTTGCCTTTCCTAATTCACAAGATCATCCTGAGACTTACATGAGATATCAGATCTCTAAGTTCTTCATAAATTGTAAAGCCCTATACAAAAATTAAATACTACTATTGTGAAAGCTGACACCCCAAAGTAGTTTTTCTTTATATGGTATTACTATATTGAGGGCTGTAGCCAAACTTTTGGTCCTCTGAAGTAATATTTTATTCATGATATAAAAAGTAAGCAGTTTCTAAAGTACTTCATGTAATTCTAATTGTAGCTTATAGACCCTGAGAATTGAAAATTTAATTTTATATAGTGTTTCATATTGATGAGATAACCCACTTTATTCTCTGAAGAAGAAAACATTTCTTTCCTTCAAGCAGCATATTTCTTATAGTTCATCATCCAGACTCATAAAAGTTTCTATAAAGGTGAGGGATGATACACTAGTATTTTCCAAAATCTTTTCCAACACATATTTTGAAAAACTGAAAAATTTGAATTAAAACCATTATAATTTTCACTGCTAACATTTGTGTTTCCCACTTTTTAGTTTCTGAAGGTAATAAAATATCTATGACCCTTAAGGTAGAAATATGTTAAAGAATCTCTTCATTGCCCATAGGTATGTGGAGGCAAATTTCAATGACTAGGTTTGCTGAGTGTAGTATAGCAAAGGGAAGGAAAATACAGTAAAACCTTGGGTTGCAAGCATAATTCGTTCTGGAAACATGCTTGCAATCCAAAGCACTTTGTATATATATCAAAGTGAATTTCAAGAACCGTCAACTCTGGTGATCATGTGATGTTTGGCATCATGTACTACTCATGTTGCAAGACATCACTCGTTTATCAGGTTAAAATTTATTAGAAACGTTTGCTTGTCTTAAGGAACACTCAGAATAAGTTACTTGCAATCCAAGGTTTTACTGTGTATGGGTTTTGATTTTTTTAATCTTAAGAAGTAAACACAGGAATTTATGTAAAAACTTTTTTGTTTGTGGTCACGGGGGGCCTAGTATAAAATCCCAGAACTATAATTATCGTAAGTTCATGTATAAAAAAAACTGTGTAAAAAAGTTCTTATTTGCCAGTGCAAAGCAACCATTCCTTTATTAGTGAAACAAATACAAGGACATAGACTATATTGGAAACAGAGGAGATTGAAAAACTTTCTTACCCTTCAAGTCCTTTATCCTCCCCTGCACAAACTTCTTAATTATAGAAGATTAAATTTAATGAGATGCTTTGTATTATACAGAAAGCTGGCCTGCAGACCCATCATACCACTAAAGCTTCTTAAGCTGAAGTCATCCGGGCTTTTTTTTTTTTCTTAAGTAAAATAAATGGAAACTTATGGAACTTAACTTACTTGAAATTATAACATTGAACACTTGCTGGGCTCCTTTTTGAAAGGCTTTCTTCTTTTGACTTCACTGACACCATATTCCCCACACCTCTGGTTGTTCATTTTATAGACATTCATTTCGCTGCTTGAAGATCAAATGTTTATTTTACTGAGGGTTCTGTCCTTTTCTTGAGTTATGTAATTTTCTGCAGTGAAATCTCATTTAACATTATATACTGATGATTCCGAATGAAGCAAAAACTCTTTCCTGGGGTGCCTGCGTTGCTCAGTCAGTTAAGCGTCTTGACTTTGACTCAGGTCATGATCTTATGATTCACGGGTTCAAGCCCCGCCTTGGGCTCTGTGCTGACAGCTCAGATCTGGCCTGGAGCCTGCTTCAGATTCTCTGTCTCCCTCTCTCTCTGCCCCTCCCCTACTTGTGTTTTTGTTTTTTTTTTTTCCTCTCTCTCTCTCAAAAGTAAATAAAAAAAAATAAACAACTCTTTCCTGAATTTCAGACTAAATACTGTAACTGCCTTCAGGACATGTGTATTTTTCTGCCCTACTTCAAACATGTCCAAAAGCAAGTTTAACATCTTTACCAACTCCAAAATCTATTCTTCCTCTTCTCTTCTTCTTCTCAATACATGGTGCCATCATCTACATGGCTGCCCAAGCCGGCAACTTGGTGAATTCTTAGACTATGATTTTTCCCTCCCTCCCTGTCCCATGTCCAAAAGAGTATCAACTCTCTTTGATTTTTCTACCTGAATAAGTCTCTAGTCTCTCTTCTCTCTAGCTTTAATGTTAGGCCTATGTAAGTATTAATATGACCCAGGAAATGTGGAGACCTTGAGGCCCCTCATTCTTTGATATCTATCAAATAATCAAACATGTATCTGTCACTTTCTAGTTCTCTAGGATTAGAAGAAAGGTGTTAAATAATTCCAAATTAGCTATACAGTTGTTCATGAGGCGCTGATTCCCTGCACAAATTTGGAAGGCTAGCACAAAACAGCAGCCTAAATCTGAGACTCTTTGAGGATTGAGGTAAAATCCTCAGGTAAAATGGCCCAGATTCTCCATACTTTTGTCCCATTCACTGCCCCTTACACACATCTGACCACCAACACTTCTCACCCGGATCACCGTAACAGCTTCCTCACAAGTATGTCTGCCTCTAGATTTCTACCTCCGGTCTACTCACACTGCAATTAGACTGATCCGTAAGTATTTGAGAATGACTGATTACCTATGTTTTAGAGGTTTTTACCTGTGAAATCTCATCCCCAAATAGAAAAGTTGAATTCTCACTTACTTGCTTGTAAAAAAATTCCAGATGTAAGTGTCCATTAAATATCAGAATGTTTTTTCCCACCACATTATAAAACACTTGTCCTCGCTTAGAAATCAGTGCCAGATACTGCACTCTTACTTCCTAAACACTTTATTCCAATAGACCAATAACTTTTTTCTGTTAGATATATCAATTCTAAAGTTAACAATAAGTCAACAATGACAATATTCTTTTAATGGCACCGTATTATTATTATTGTTATTGTTGTTGTTGTTGTTATCATTGATATTCTCTTAGTTTCTTCACAGAGAGGGTTACAATTACATCATCTAATCTCCTCCATAAGTCTTCATGACATCCCATTTGTTTTCAGTCCAACAAAGGGCATATTTGTGATGGAACTTGTTCCAATTTACTTTGGGTGCAGTCAACTTTATAACCTTTGTGGTTTACCACTTCATGCTCTCCTTGGTTGGCATAGCCTGGATGACATAAAAGCAGACCTAGTGATACTCTGAAGAAATATAGCACATAATTTTCTAGCCCTGATCCATTTTTATAGGCCACAACATTGAGAGGTTGACTTCCTGGGCTATATTGATTGCATGTAAGGTTTCTTACATTCCTTACATGGCCAAATTTTAACTAAGAAGCTATAATTAGAAGATTCATCAACTGAGCCAACTGTTTATCATATCCTGAAGCTGAAAAAAGAAAAAAAACAGTATATTCCATGGCATTGCTAGGGTGACAAGGGACTCACGAGTCACAAATGTGGATAGTGTCCGTAATTCTGTTATGATTAAGTAGGTGTGCAATGGGGAAGATGATCACCACTAAGAAGTTTTGTGTGTGTGTGTGTCAAGCCTTATGTCGTCACAAAGATGAAAAACAAAGGAACAGTTATGGTCTCAGCCTTGCAGAAAGCAGACAACATATGGGCGTTTACATAATATGTACAGACATAACTACCATGCTAAACCAAATCTAAAAATAAAAGCTGCCATTTATTGAGTGTTAATATATGCTAAGAAATGACCAAACACGTTTGCATGGATAATCACTAATATTCTCCCCAAAAAACATGTAATGGTTTTCCACCTAAGGAAATGAATGCTTGGAGACATTAAATAATTTGCCCAAGTTTGACCAGGTCAGGATTAAGCCTAATTCCATCTGCCTTTTTGTCCCTAAAACCCATGCTGTTTCATAAGTTCCTGGGAAGAGACTCCAGAGAGGTTTTGCATGTGTTCAAAATAAGTTGTATTTGTTCCCAGTTGAGGCCACAGGGGAAGGCTTATAATAAGACTTCAGTGGTATTTGTGTTAAAAGTTAGTGAAGGGTCTGGAAGAAAGTAAGTATTCCAGGCAGGAGGAATAGCAAGAAAGTGACACCACAGTAGAAGAGGAATGAATATGTACAAAAGCAATAAATTATGTATTTTCCTTGATGGTTAAGTGAAAGATGGAAAGGGAAGGTGTGGTCAGCTGAGAGGTGGGACTTAACTCAGTAGGCTGCATGAAGCCATCTACGTTTTCTGGGATGCATAATTACTGGAATATCATTGTACTCTAGGAAGACTTACCTGGCAACAGCATGTAAATGTGTGTGGGAGGGGAGACTGAAAGACAGATGATAGATGTAAAAGCTTATTGAAGTAAGAGGATAATGACCTGGGCTGGGACAATGGAAGTGGAAATGTGTATCACAGCTGTCTTCCAAACTCCACAGCCTTGCGAACATCTATCGCTGATCCTCAAATAATACATTGTGCTTTGAAGCAGGGCTGGCTTAGAAACTGTAACCCGTGGGAACTTAATGGTTCCATTTAGGTCCAAAGTACGCTTAATTATTGGCCTGCCTTACATTCTATAAGGAAGAAACATTTGGAATAAATATTCTTGTACAGCCTGAGAGGCAGTTCACCACTGAAAATGTTTAGTTCTCTATGATGTAGAAAGGGAGAGTTACTAAATGGTATAATCAAACCCCTAGGTGTTTTAGTGAGGTCCTGGCATAACTGGTAGGGTGACTTCAATTTCCAGGCTACAGGTTCCTCATTTGGCAAGTGGGTATAGTAATAATTATCCCGCTTCCCTCTCTTGGCTGTTGCAGGAAGTCAAATGAGATAATTAATGTGGAAGTCCTCTAGAAAACACAGAATCCTCTCTGCTTTTAAGTGTGGAGGGACTATTTTGCTGACGCCTCTCTGTAGTTCTCACAGTACTGTATCAAACACACAGTAGGGGCTAGAAATATCTGTTGAATGAGTGGTTGCATACAAGAGTTTTGCAGGAGAATGGTTCTGGTACCAATGCTTTGATACGATGTTGTATGCAGTTAACGTACACTTTCATCCCATGTCATGAATCTTCATAGAAGAAAGGGGATGAGATGCAGACATGGTGGTGACCAGTTCCGTTATGGAACTGAAATACAGTATAGCTACTGCCAGTTCACTTCCTGCTAGAAATCCCAGGCGCGGTATCCCAGAATAGGGGAGGGATTCGAATCCAGGAAGAAAGTGTGCTTCATGTCATTAACCCCTGGGGGAGGAGGAGTATCTAATTAGCGTGTGGACTGTGAGGGAGGAAATAACACTCTTTCCTGTGACAGGAGTTCAGCGTCCTGGGCGTGATAAAGGGCGAAACCAAAGAGTGACATTCAAGGGGAAGAGGGAAAGCCACACACGTTCATTTTTCAACAAATATTTACTGAGCATATAAATAAGCACTGAGGGAAGGTGTGCCTTGTGTGAGGTTGGGAAGTTCTTCTCCAGAAGATACTCCCTTCGACGCGTGGATTTGGAAGGCAACACCACAGAGGATTAATTTATACACAAACACATAATAAATTATGTTTCTGACAAATATTGACTGCAAATAACATGCAACTTTTAAGCTGTAAGAGGAACGGTTAATTTCTGAAGATGTTTTCACTAAATTGAAACACATTTACTCTCTAATAGATGGAGCACAAAGGAAATAAAAATTAAACAAAAGAGGAACTAAAATCAGTAAGCTTGCTTTTCATTTAGTTGAATAACTTCTACTCTAGGAAGATTCTCCTTGGATTATCAGGATGTTGGTTGTTTGAGTTTTGATTAGAAAAGGAAGGTAGCTGCTGTCCAAAAGTTTCAGTACTGGGTCTTTGTTTCTCAAGGTCATGTGAACACTGCATTTAAAAGGTATTAAATTTTACATAAAGGGTGTGGATATGTGAAACAACCTTCTAGAGATATACAAACAGAAGAAAAACAAAATCACAGAAACCCAGCTGGATCCACATTGGGACACGGAACAAATAAAAAGGCATTGGCAATGTAGTTCCAAATGGAAAACATTCGCAAAGACGGAAGCTAGGGAATATAAATTTCTGAGGAGAATTTGGCAATAGCCAAGATCAGCTGTTTCCCGTGATCTAACAGACAAGATCTAATTTTCCTTTCCTTCCCATACTTCCTCATTTTTTATCATACATTTATTTTCAATATATGGGATTTATATTTAAACATGTTAGCCTATCACATCGGTAAGGTTGAACAAGGAAAGCTGACAGAGAAACAGAGATGAGCAAAAACCACAGGCAAATAGGAGACAAGATGCATTAAAGGAGAGGATTACATTTGTTTTGTTTTTTCTCCCGTAGACTGAAATAACATTTTAGTTATTTAAATGTTGAGTCCAAGTCCTTGTCTGAGGTCACAGCTATATTTCTTTCCAGTTTAAATTCACTTGTATTTTCTATTTTATTTTGTGTGGATCTACAATCACGTAACATTCCTATTTACAGGAAATTATAACTTCAAACTTGCAAAGTCCTCTTGTTTGCCGTTGATACAAACTTATTTGGTGGCATTTAAAAAATCAATTGTGAATTTTAATATTCACAAACACGCTACCCTAAAAATAGATGTTGTCCCCCCCCCCCCTAAATTTGGAAGCATGTGATATATTTACCTGGAACACCTTTGAGGGATCTGTCTTGGTTTTTCAATTTGATAATGTACTCAGCATCACATTGCACATCTACACCTCACTAACAAAGGAAAACATTAGAGAGCTCTCATTTCCAGATAGTTCAGACTGTTGCCCTTCAGAGACACTTTGGAGACAGAATAATGTGTCTAATAATTTCAGCCAACCTAGGTATTTATCACAGCTTCAAACAGGCAGTAATTCACTTATATTTATTTTCTCAGAATGCAACACGAGTCTGAATTAAACATTATGATACATACCTGCGCAAGTATAAACTATTTTTTCAAATTTTCGTAGTCAAGATTTCTTTCTCAGAGAAGAAAATTAGACAGGTGCAGCACACCAAATGAGATGAACTTTGTCCTCAAAGAAAATTGGTTTTTCCTTTTCAATTTCATTTCAAAGAGATCTGACAAGTGTGGCTTTGAACAAACTTTAACAGCACAATATCCTTTGTGTAAGTTTTCCCTTGTCAGCTTTTCCATTCCAGCAGGAACTTAGAACAAAGTGGATGTTGCCCTTTGAGTTGAGAACTTCATCAGTTGAATGAACACTAGCATAGTGCAGTGAAATTGAGGGCATACTCTCTCCTCGAATCTCAACAGTGCAGTGTCTCAACAAATATAATTTCTCCATCTGGTGCAAGGAGAGACACTAGCCATACATTTAGCTTCGTACACTCTCCTTCTTCCTTTTTCATAGGAAAAGCCCAAGTATTTGGCAGTGCACCCACTTGAAACTTTTGCAGATTATGCTAAGAAGTCTTCCATTGTGTGTGGAACACAAATAGACATTATTTGGTGATGTCGTTTGCTGTTACACTATTTTCTACCCAAATCCTGGGGAGCCTGTTGTGAGAGGTACAAAGCCAGACTCTCAGGTGTGTTTTGTTTTCCTATGCATGGAAGAAAAAAAGAATATGTTTTTCGTTTGTTTGCTTTGTTTCATTTTTAACCTGTGGTAGCTTCGCAACCATTTAAAAGTAAAATTCAAAAGCAGAGAAAACCAACGCAGGAAACTGCTTCACAGAGATTCTAATCTTTATTGCACGAAAGCTTGTTATGGCTACTCATTCCTTAGAGCTTTAGATTGTGTATAAATTGTGTTACTTTATGCTGGTAACTAACTGCTTTGACAAGTTTATTTTTTCTTTGCATGTTCTCCTAACTTCCTTAAGGTTTTTTTGTTTTGTTTTTTTTTACTACAATTGCCCCTTGCTATCTTTTGCTTTCTCTTGGCTCCAACCGTTCCTTTCATCTTCTTTTTTCCCCCTGTGCATTAATATTTAAAGACTGTACTAGTGTCAAACATTCATGTAGAGACAACTTAAATGCAAAGTGGATAAGGTTACAGAATAAGTCCATGCCCAATTTAATTACAGCATTTTGATTAACACAGATTGTAAGTAGTTTGAACGAAGAATTTTAAGTTGTTCCGCTTGAATATTACAAAGGCTAACCAGAGATGAAGTGTAACTTTGACTCAGAAACTGCCAGAAAACA